TGAGGCCGAAAGCAACCACAACCGTATCTTCATTTGGAGACTTGTCACCAACATTGGTACCATCATTCTCTCACGAGCTATCCCGCCCAATTTTATCACTAGCCGCCGGCAAAGACGAATTCTTCACCTTCCAGTGGTGCCGGTGTAATCGCTCATTATGCTCTGCATATCTGGGATAGTCAAGAAGAATCGCATCCGAATCGAAGTCGAAAGCAACCTCAAACACATCTTCATTTTACGACTTCTCGACAATGCCTCTCATCATTATCATCTGAGTCCTCAACCCATCTCTAACCACGCATCATCTCGCCTCAACGACTAATAAAGATGTCGCTCCAATTGCAAACAGGAGCTTGCCCCATTGATTTATAGCCATCTCTCATTACATATTTGCGACGCTATTTATACCCGCAAGGAGGAAATCAAGTCGAAAAATACAAAGTTGGGGTCTTTGCTTACGGGGGACTGTTGTTTTAATAGAACAAACAACTTAAGGGATAACAGGCAGCTGAAATGTGAAGCGAGACGGGAACAGGTCTCTGAAAAGCATGCTGGAAACGATATTTTCGAGGAGTTTTCAACTTTGGAATGTTTGTGGGCGCCGAGACCGAGACTTCGGCTAATTAGCCAGGAGGGCTTCTTTTGTCAATGAGTCAACGGCACTCCCCAGCGCCCTGGACGGTACAAAAGAAGTTGGGCTAAGTTACTATACAGCAATCACGTTGTCAAGACCTTTCTGACATTTCAGCACGACCTTCGGGAAGGAGGCTAGAAAGGCAGAGGGTGAATTTCCCGAGGTACCCACAAGTTTGCAGCGCCCAGCTGGCCGGCCTCTTCGAACGCTTCAGAAGGGGCACTATTTTTTCGGAATTAGTCCTAATGTCGGTATTAGGAGAGCTCCGCACCCAGTGGTTTTTGCGATTTTTCCCGGCTGCCATACACCCGCAAATGGCCATCGCTTCGTTGGCTGGAGAGGGGAGATAATGAAGGGCAAAAGGCTCCTCTTAGTGTCTGATCGAATGAGGACTTGTGATGGGTGGTACTCTTAGAGGGGAGTTGTATGGGAGGCATAGGAGGGGATATACTACCGGTATAGGTATCCTTGGCCTGTAGGCAGAGAGGACCTGCATGACCTACATAGTCATAGACTCAGATAGGACAATAAAATGAAATAATAATTATAATAAATTATTACTAACCATCTCATCTCGATGACCAATCAAGTAGCTGCACCACATGCAAATGGATGTTAACCTCATTAAACAACGGCCATCACCCACTACCAGATTACAACCCTAAGTATACCCGAAAGGAGGAAATATGTCGTATTGTACAAATCTCGGGATTTGACTTGCGGGGGACCAATGCGCCAGTAGAGCTGTACAACTTGAGGGAGTAAATGTAGCTGGAGTATGGAACGAGAGATGACGTCGATAGAAATGCTGAGACTGGCATCTTTGAAGTGGCTCAAAATTTTTTTTAACCCTCATATTGCATTCAGCAACATATCTATGACACTTGGTACTCGACTTTGGGTTGTTGTTGAGCGGCAAGATCGGGGTTTGATGAATTGTACAGTAGTACTTTGTCTGGGTAGGTGTTCAAAGGAATCTGGACAGCTTGGACATGTATTCATCTCGAGACCTGATTCGTTAGACTGAATTCAACTTACCCCTATCAGAGTTCGCGCTATACCTTGGCAAACAGAGATTTCCAAGCTTTCTCTTTAGCACATATACGTTAGATTAGATTTTTTCTTGTAAGTTGAGTCATATTTTCTGTAATTTTCTTTGATATTGTGTCATAGCTAGATAGCTGCATACGCAATTAAATCTGATGCAAAAAAATAAATTAGATTAGATTAGATTAGATTAGACTTGTATTATAGTCCTAACTGAGTCAATGACTATTGAGGACTGCTAGAATCTACAAATAAGATACTAGCTACATGTTTGAAGCTTCAACTTTTTAAATTTACGCTTTGCTCTTAGCACATATACATGATTGAGCAGATGATGAAAACTCACTGTCGAAAGGATAGGATCTTCTGCGAGTCAAGGTTACTCACCACAAGAAGTTGCCGTGAATCCTCGCATCATTCTTTGAGACAGACAGTCAGTAAGGGAGTAGCCTCGAAGTCCCCCAAACCCAGCCTTTTTTTTGAATCATATTGTATTCAGCTATCTAGCTGTGACAATTAAATATCCAATTTGAATTTGATTTCATTATGCTAGTTTGGTGCCCTATGGGCCCATGCAGGTGTCTACAATCTATAATATTTACCCGGGAGGAAACCTTTATAGTGAAAACCTCTCACACCTTTCTACTTGTTGTCTTTAGTTCTCACATATTTTCTTCAGGAAGTGCAGTTACACTATAGTGCTACCCATGTAAACCAACCAGATCATCTCTAACCATCTCAAGCGTTACTTGACCTGTTCCTTTCCCTCAGCAGCATTTCGACCGCCTTTGTCATCTGGAATTGCTCTATCCAATCATGGTTTAGGATCCACTGTGTTATCCTTTTTATATCTCCAGGATTGTTTATCATCGCTTCGTAGGATCGATCTTTCGCTCGTCTCCAGGTCTCAGCTCTACCATTTGACCATCGGGGGCAGGACATAATCATATGCTTGGGGTTCTGTGATAGGTAGCCACATGGACAACCTGGACTTAATACTCTGGGTACTTTTCTTCTGTGCAAATTCGAGTTAAGCCTTAAATATCCATTTATTTTTACGTTTCCCAACCCAATCAAATCTAGGGGCGCGACAAAGTACATGGCCTAGGATGAACAATTGTATAACTTCATACGCTTGTTCTGCGAATGGACGACGTGTCATAAGAATCGATAAATCACAATTGCCAATGCGAATGCGAATCTCCAAGCCTATTTAGGTTTAGGCCACAATCCTATTACTTAGCGCATTAATCACAAGACTTTTTTTTTTTTTTTTTTTTTTGCATCAGATTTTAATTGCGTATGCAGCTATCTAGCTATGACACAATATCAAAGAAAAGTACAGAATAGATGATTCATCGTTAAGGAAAAGCACTCATGCCTCAGATTTCATTTGCAAGTACCACTGCGAAGTTATGGTGGCTTTTTCTTCACCCCAAGTCAACCCTCATCCGTGAATACCCACCCAGGGGAACGTCTCAAAAACCCTGAGTTATCCAGACATGCCTCCATCATCTTTCAACTTTTCTCCGCGCGAAATATGGCCTGAGATATCTCCTTTCCAAGTGGAGTAGGTGCCCAGGCTACTCAAACCATACCGGAGAACACCACCAGGAGGCGGACCACAACACCTTCCATCGTTAACTTGTTTTTATAGTGTCAGCTGCACTCTCGCAAGCGAAGTCTTGGCGCACACAAAGCCCAATTCGAAAAACTCCTTGCCAAAATTCGGAATCTCATGCCCTTCGAGGTTATATCCGTCCTTCGCATCATCTTGCCAACTTGTCCAGATCCCTCTCACATCCGTCCCAAAGAACTGTCTCCCAGATTTGTGCGCCACGCTTTCCTTCCTCCGTCGGGTATAATATCGGCGTGGGCGTGTATTTGGTGACCAGCTGAGGCCAGAGAAGGTCGAAGAGTGGTGTGGTCATTGGAATGAGGATGTACTTGGTCGTACTTGTAGACTCGATGAGACGAAGATAGGAGTCAAACTCGTTGGGAGCGAAATAACGACGTGGATGAGTAATTTGGATTTTTGCCTCGTGGGCCAACTTCTTTGATATTGCGAAATTTGACTGAACTTGGCTCTGGGAGAATATTTCACTCCCAGGTTCGTAGAGGACACCGCGTACAGGTGTTCAGTCTTGCCCTCCAATCACAAGACTTGCGTGTCTGTCACTATGTTAAATAATTTTCTATTCTGCATCTTTAAAAGACAGTATCCATGGTCACAAAACACAACCAGTCGGGTGAGGCTAGGCACTATCTACAAAATACACAAAGCGTCATACATCAATCTGGTATACGTCTTGACGCCGAGCTAGTCCATAACACATTGAGACAAAGACCACCCATCTAGCCTGATCGTCACCCCATATCAGTCTTCATCTCTAAAGAATCCTTTTCATTACCTACTATCAATACTCATTCCGTAAATTTGATGTGCTCTTCCCCTTGATCAGCTAGAGTTCTGACCTTGGTTAGCTCCCATACGCACGTCTGCGGTGCTGCAGACGGCTGGGGAAAATGTGAACCGCAATCTCCACTTTGAACGGCATCGAGGAACTCGCCGAGAGCATGGAAAGACTCAATGTAGAAGTAATACAACTTGTGTACATGAATGACCTTCAATAAGGGAATCGCTTCTAAAGTCCCATAATTTTATCGGCACTTGGTCGAAGAGTAATCATCTGTCACAGTCTAAGCATAGACACTTGGGCAACCTTGTGGTCAGAGGTAGTTTATTTTCAATCTACGGAGAACTATAGTTCGAAGAGGATAATAATGGCTGCTTTATACATGATTATTATCCCAGCCAATGACACGGCTTTCTACCCGTTTACCCGTATATTCGCACATCCGTTCTCGTATCCCACTCTTGCGCCTCATTCCCGGAAGTTATACAATATTGATATTGCAACTTGTAAGCCCCTACTTCCGAGGATAGGCTTCGCTTAGTGTCACGCTAAGTCTACGTTGGACAGCGTAGACTATAGGTAATTATCGGCTTACAAGCCTTCACATCATCCATCCTCAATTATCCAAGGCATTAAATAGTAAATAAAATTTCACATGTCAGGCGACTTTATTATCCCTTCCGTCATAGTATCATGCCAAAGCGTCGTTGGATTGACCAGTGACCAACCACTGTGTAGCCAATCAGCGAGCTGACCCCATGTAATACCCAGCGCTACGCTCGTTTATGACGTTCTAGCCCAATCAGCTGCAGTCGCTCGCAGAGCAAGGTCTTGGAATACTTAAGGGATGGCGCCGACCTAACAAACAGGTCGCTATCTCATAATAAATTGGGCAAGCTCAAATGACACTCGATGATTTCTCAAACAGTGTTGGTGGTGCCCTCAGGCTGAAAGGTGCGAGTGGACCAGTGGGAATTAGCAAGCAAAAGAAGAAAAAGAAGAAGCAACAGAAAAAATCACAGGAAGCCTCCGATGAAGCTAGTGCAACAAACAAGCCCGAGTCATCTGTCGAAGTTACTAGTACCACCGATAGTAACCATCAAAAGACGCCCAGTGAACTAGCTCATGAAGAAGTACGGCGGAAGCGGGTAGGTGTCCAGCTTTCAAACTTACGTTAGGTCGCTACTTCTAAGCAGTAGCTGACGTGCTGAACAGTTGCATGACCGTCTCACCAAGGACGGCCTTAAAACTCATAAACAACGAGTAGAAGAACTAAACAAGTACCTCTCTAATCTCTCGGAGCATCATGACATGTACGTGCTCGTACTCGCCATCACTTACCCTGGTGCCTCGTGCATCGCTAATTATCTGGACTCATTTAGGCCACGTATTGGACCCGGATAACGTTTTCTCACTCGCATACTATACTTATGGCCCCTGCGTATGTTTCTACAGCTGCAAAAATACGTAACCCACTTACTTTATAATCTTAGATGACTATAAAAAAGCTAGCATCTTGTTCCAACTCACACTCTAAATTCGGAAGCTTCAACGGAATTTGGAACTCAATATCATCTAGATGAGAGATGAAGCACTGAAACACAGTTATTTTTATCCCAATCTCTACAATAAGTGATAACACAATGAAAAAAGTGGTCATCAACTCCATGTTTGTGCCTCATTTGCGAGTAAATTCATTCCGTGATTTCGGACGACAAGGCCAAAGCGTGACGGAAAAGTGAGAAGTGCTAGCAGTGCTGTTTATTTGCAACAAATATTTACCATCTATAATCTCGCCCGGTTGTAACAACTCATCATACATGACTCATCCATCATTTAGTCCGATCATAAACCAATACATTACTTTCATTTTACATGCAAAACGGCATGACAGATTTAACCGATTATATATTATTCATACCCAACCCGGTTCCATCCTACGCCCCGAAACGTCTTAATTTTCCATCAGTCAACTACCAATTAATGTCGCGTGCGCCTACCAACGAAGATACCCAACGCCAACCCAATCATTAAGGCCATGTTTTTGTATTGTCGAGAGTGAAACATTATCACTTGCTAAAAAACTAACTCAGCAAACTTGCTTTTTCCTACAAACTTGGGAGGCTCCACTGATATATATTGTGTACATGAGTAATGTTGAAAATGTTTTGGGTGAGGTTATTTTTCGTCGAGGTTTTCATTTGAGATTCAAAAGTTTAATGGTCTAGAGATTAGCATCATCTCAATAGTTTTGCACAAGTCACATTAGACAGACTTGTTGCCAGACAATGGCCTAGACATGGACATATCAAAATTATCATCTATTCCATCAACTTGCGATACAGAATCGATAATTTCCGTTGGGATTTGCCGTGGAACATTTGTATCAGCATAAGACAAAGTACTGTGATCATTATAGGGTGAAACGTTACGATGAGGTAGTTCATATTGCAGTGAGGTTCGCTTGTCAGACAAAGTATCGCTAGGTATTCTCTTATTCTCTCCTAACGAGGATGGTATAGATGCTTGAGGCTACGAGAGTGTCAGTTGTTTCTTATTTTAATTTGAATCTACTTACCGGTCGAAGATATTGATCGAGTTTCATCTTCAGCACATTTGATCGAACAGGCTTGGCAAGATAGTCGTTCATACCCGAGTCGAGACACTTTTCTCTATCACCTTGAATTGCTGATGCAGTCATAGCTATGACCAAAATTTTTCGAATCTCTTCGATAGGATCACGCCGGAGAAGTTTAGTAGCCTCATAACCATCAAGTACTGGCATTTGGACATCCATCAGAACTAGATGATATGGTTGACCTTCTTTGTATTTCAAACGAAGACCCTCTACTGCTTCCCAGCCATTTTCATAAGAATCCACGAGTTTGAATCCGAGTTTGTGCATGAACTTAACGGCAATTTTCCTATTGACTGGATTGTCTTCTGCAATACAAACGCGCAACTCTTCGTTTGGAATGCGAGACAAATTTGGGAATGTCATTTTGGAGCGTTCTGGTTCTTCGGTGATAGCTCGAGAAGGTTGCTGTTCTACTGCCTTTTGACAGTCACCGGGAGCAGCTTGCTTGGCTTTCGTAAAAGTTATGGTGAACCAACAGGTTGTGCCTATACCTTCAGTGCTATCGAGTTCAATTTTTCCGCCCATCATCGATTCAATGAGCGATCTGCAGATACTGAGACCAAGTCCACTACCACCATATTTTCTTGCAGTGCTGGCATCGGCTTGACAAAATGGTTTGAATAATTTGACCAACTGTTGGGGAGGAATACCAATGCCAGTATCTTTTACCCAGAATTTTAACTTAATTTCTTCTCCCGATTCCCAGTCGGTTCGGGCCCCGACAACAATTGATCCGTTTTCAGTAAATTTCATACTATTACTAACGAGATTCCCTAAAACTTGATGTAATCGTACGGGATCTCCATATATTAAGCATTGAGGAAGTTCGATATCCTGAAGAAACGCAACATTTTTTCCACCACCTTTATAACTGTATGAAACAGATCTAAAAATTTCGCGCATCATTTCATCAGGTCTAAACGCAACAATGTACAGCTCCATTTTATCAGCCTCCATCTTTGAAAAGTCCAGAATATCATTGATGACGGTCAAGAGGAGATCTGCGGATATGCGTATCGAGTCTGCCATCTCAACTTGCTCTCCTGTTAAAGAGCTATCACGCAGAAGTTCTGAATTCCCAATGACGCCATTAAGGGGTGTACGAAGCTCATGGGAAACATTGGCGAGAAATATTGATTTTGCTTTGACTGCTTCTTCTGCGAGCTGTACATTTCGAAGGGCCTCAGCTTTAGCTTGATTAGCTTTTTCTTCAGCATCTAATGCTTTTGCAAGGGCTTCCTTTTGAAGGTCAACCATAGCGTTGTTAGAAGCTGAAACTTTCTCAACTGCTTTCCATGTGAGTGCATTAGAGTAACTGATTCCTATCTGGTTGACAAGAAGCTGAAGTAGTGTCCAATTTCTGCCGTTAAAAGCGTTCGGTTCGCCTTCTAGGTAAAGCACTCCTAGGAGGGAGTTGGTCCCGTGACTTATAGGAATAGCTATGACCGATTTGCTATGTTTGTTGCGAGTAGCCCATGCTTCTGTGACATTGCTAAATCTTTCGTCACGGATAAGATCAGGCACAAAGACGGTTTCCCTAAATCTTGTACAATAAAGAATCACCCCCTCTGCAACAAGTGCAGTTTCACCTAGGGGTATACCGGGAATGTGGGCTTCAGCACCCTTCTCTGGGTCAGCGCTTGCTGCAATATTCCAACCAAAGTTTTCTTCCTCGACAACAATAGCTGCTGTCGTTGCAAGACCCCCACAATTCTGTAGGATAATCTCACACATGATCCTTAGCAACTGATCAACTTGTAATACGCTAGATATCACCTGGGAGCTTTCAAGAATCGATGTCAAGTCAAGCATGTCTAAAGCCGGCAAACCAGATTCTGTGTTATCTCGAGTGGATGAGCCGTCCCAAGGCCCCATTTTTTCGCCTTTAGATTTTGAAGTCGGCGTACGGGATTGTGACGAGTTTGGGGCCTCGACATTTTGTAAACTGTAGTATTGCGTGGAGGTCGACATCCTATCGAATTTTGTTTGCACAGCTACGTCTGCTGACCTTTCGCTTTTTGTTGGGCCTTGCAATAGTAAGCTATGTTCGTTTTCAATATATTTAGCGACGCCGATAGCACCAAAAGTTCTGTATAGCAGCACAGCCTCACGCAGAGCTCCCTTGGCAGCTCTTTGTGAGCCAGTCCTGAGGAGTAGTCCAGCCAATAAATAATTTCCTAATGCCTCATCGAAGAAATTTCTATGTGCGCATGCATGGTCTAGACTCTGCTCATAGTACTTCATGGCAATTCCATGGTCTCCTTGCATCTCGGCGATTTGCGCAGCAAGTATCTTTGACCACGCCAGATAATTGACATCATTTACAGTTTGCCAATCTTCGATTTTTTTTCTTAGGCATTGTATTTGCTGGACAGTTTCTCGAAGATCCTTGTGTAGGGATTGTTCACTTTTGAGATACTCTGCGTCTGAACGTAAACCATCAATTCCTCCGCTAACAGTTCTGAGGGGATCTGAAATCTTGGACCATAATAAGCCTGCAAGAGAAACGCCATACATGAACATCAAAAATCGACTGTTTCGAGGTGACCAAACAGTATCTACCAACTTAAGGCAAGATTCACCTACTTTGACTGCGCTTTTATAGTGACCAAATAAGAAAAGTGGTGCAATCTCTATGCCCTCATAATATAGCATCTGCCGGTCACAATTTTCAAGGGTATTGCTTAACCATAACTTGTATTCGTGAGAATCGTGTTGGTCATCGCTCATAATTTTGGAAGATTCGTGAGTTAAGGTCTTGCCCTGGAGTGCACGGCAAGCTTGACGGATAGCGATAGCCATGGTACCACCCCTAGTGTCAAGGCTCCAGTTTGGAACTTCTTCGCAACCATAACATAAAAATGCCTCTAGGTCGGCCATATTTTCAGATATAAAAAATTTCATGTTGCTAACCAACCCGAAATTCAAGATGGTGGCCATCCTATCGCCCGCATGAATGGAATACTCGAGGGCTTCTTCAGACGGGGAGAATAAGTCTGGAATATCAAGCTGAAGATGCCCCACGAAAAGAGAGTAAATTAGTCCTCTCCGGCCCAGTGTATAGGGGTCTTGCCATTTTTGCACGAGAGTATGAGAAATCTCAGCCATTTGACAAGCAAATTTGATCATATTGAACCTGGTAATAGCAATCATTGCCAAGTGAATATAAGCCATCCCAGCTTGGGGAAAACCTCCACTCGTAAGATGCGTATTAACCATGACTAAAGTCATTTGATAGAACCGTAGCTGGTCGGTCCAATAGGCAGCAGAGATTGCCTCCACAAGAACCGCTCCAACCGCAGAAAGGTTCGAATCTTTGTTTGAAAGTTTATTGATTAGTGCGTCTGTTTCTGATGACTGAATTTTCACGATAAGCCTTTCAAATTCCTCGTCGCACTTTTCAAAGCTAGTTTCATCAACTCGAATTCCAAGGCCTGAAAGACAAGCCTTTAAGGCTCGAAAGGCAGCAGGAGAGTTACCCTCTTGAGCATAAATCCGCGACTGAAGAACCCACGCCGGGGCCTTTTCCACCTCCATACAGGCCTGAGAAAATACTGTTTCTAAAATTTTGCTGGCCTCAGAATACTTGCCCATATATAGATAGCACTCAGCAGCCCGTATGTGTAATTGGAGAGTTTCGTCATATAACACATCAACAGAGCCAGTTTTCCAGGGTTCGTCTTGAAGTAAAGCAAAACATTTACTGTAATATCCAGCTGCTGTTATTTGAGCGCCACTTTCTGCAGCTGAGAGTGCACATTCAAAAAGAATTTTTCGGAATTTGTGTCTTTGAGCTACACGAGCCTTGATAATTTCAATTGATTCACCAATATGAATCGCAATTTTTTCTTTGTTACGATCATCTGAGTAATACTTAAATAAAGTTTGTGCAATAATAAAGTGCATTTTCGGGCCACTACACGCGACAAATGAAGCTGCTGCTTGTAGGTATCGATCGTGTGCGAAGCGAAATTTCTCATCATCCTGAGTTGCAACTATAATGCAGGCCTGTATTGCAGCCTGGAGCCCTTCGATGGCATCTTCCTGCGAGTGAGACAAAGATTGTGGTCGAGACATGCTCAAGCTTGGAAGTGAGTCCTCGTAATCAAATTCCCCGCTCAGCAACTTCTGTATCACATTGAAAGAAAATGGGCTACCGACAAATGATGCCCATGCTAAAATTGCTTTAGATGCGGGAGGTAATTCGTTGAATCTGCTCGTCATAAATTCGCTATTCAATGTCTCTTGGTACATAGAGCTCTTAGACTCCTTGAAAATTTTTTCAATATCATATCGCCAACAACTCTCTTTATAGTCGTAGTAAATGCATTGTTTTCGATGGCAACTATCAAGCATCTCTCTCATGTAGAAAGGATTTCCGGCAGTTTTAGATTTTACTACGGCAGCAAGTGGTACGACTTCTATTTCCTCCCGGCAGAGTGTCGCTGCAACATATTTCTTGATATCTTCTTCGTTAAGAGGTTTTAGAGTAACTCTAGTGATGCTAACAGCACCGGTTCTTATAAGTTCTGTGCTTTGTAAGCGTATAAAGAGAAATATCGGGCGATGGTTAATGTTCTTTACCTTTATTATTTGAAGGTTCAATTATCTCCTTAACTTTCTCAGAAAGTGGTTCATCTGGCCTGTACGTGACAATAATAACCATCCTCATTCTAGAAGCTAGTATCTGAGTGATTAGGTCGAGAGATTCATCATCCGCAAATTGGATATCATCCAAGCAAAAACATATAAATTTATGTAAGGTGAAGATTCTTAGCACTTCGAGGAATGTGTTAAGCAATCGAACTGACTTTGTCGATGATCCAGCACGGAGAAAATCTTGCGCACTTTGAGCGCCGAGTATTTTGCTAAAGATATTTCCATGAGAGCTTGAAGGGGAAGAATCTCTTCGCTTCACGCTAGACTTTAGGCTTTTATTGAAAGATTGCTGAGCCAGAGATGTAGAGTTGGCGATTCGGGCGTTTATAGGAGTGTCTGTGGTTCCTAAAAGAAATACAGGTAGATCAAGAACTTTGTGGAGCATCGGCCAAGCGGGCTGAACGTATTTCTTAAGCATCTGATGAAAAGGGGTTTCGGTATCACTCTCAGAGAAAACCTGTTTGAACAAACTGGATAATAGCTTTAAAACTGGTCCGAATGTAGTCGTTTTTGTCTGGTCAAACTTGGAACTGGCAAAGTACCCTCTCCGCCGTGCCTCTGTTTGGACTGACTCTACTAGACATGTCTTTCCTAGACCAGCCAATCCTGAAATACAGACAACATCACAATGCCCTTTGCGACGAAATTTCTGGGTATTACGGAACCCAGCAAGGCTACCTACTCCTTCTGATGAAATCTTTGATAGTTGATCTGAGTTGTTACTCTCAGCAATGCTTAATGGTGAATCAAGGGAAAATGCACTTGTTTTTTCCCATGGTTTAATGATGGAGGTTATCCTCATGGTATTTTCCGTGCTGTCATTGTGCTGGTGTTGTGAACTGGGTGTCATCCTGTGCTGAGCCGAATTTCCCTTGTGAAGTCGCAGCTCCCCTGATAAACCATTCGTCATAAACGAGGTGGATCCGCCATCTATCGAGCTAGCTGCATCACCATCGCTTGATGCTTGATCAACTGTACCAAAAGCGGCATCAAGAGTTTCAAGCCGTCCTTCGGTTAAGCTAGACCCAAAAGGTAACGCATTATATGTCTCGTTTACTTGAGCAATCGAGTGCCGTCGTGATACTGTGTCAATTACCTTGACAATTTTATCGTGCTCTTCAGATCTACCAATCATAATTGAAGGGAGAACAAAGAAAGATGAAACATCATTAGTCGCAATTTTCCAGTTTTGGAGTGCTATAGAATCGCCTGTCCCGAGTAGTCGACGAACTTCAGTAAGATCATGCCTCAGACCACTAATTGAGTGATATCTTTCACCAATATTCTTAGCTGTCATCTTTTGGATAATTCTACCGATAACATCCGGGATATCTAATCTTATATTTGATACCGAGGGTAATCTTCGTCCTAGGACACCTTGTATTATATCCATAGGGGTTTCACCCTCAAAAGCGGGCTTTTGAGTTAACAAAGTCCAAAATAAAATTCCCAGAGAGTAGATATCAGTTCGACTATCAGGTTCGGCAGGCATCCGTCCGGTTTGTTCCGGGGCCATGAAGCATAATTTATTCTTGGCGCCGACCTCTTTACTCAACATTGACCATCCATTGCTGGTTAAGCCGTGCTCAAAAGTTCGCAAACCGGAGCCAAAATGCAATAGCCGTACTTTTTTCGACTTATTAGTCATGTGGAAAGCGTCACCTCTAATCTCACCATGTATAATACCCTGGCCGTGATGCATAGTCTCTAAACATTCTGTAGCACCCACTACAAAGTCCATAAACATCTGCAATGGCATAAGTTCAAGGGGGGTATCGTCCCTAAATGCTTTGATCTCAATACCCAATTGCCGTCCTCTGTAATAAGCGGGACCAAAATCAAGAACATTTGCTAAGTAGTTGACGCCTATGTACTCGTAGATACAAACCACAAGAGGTCCATCGTCGCCGAACTGACTAGGAAGCCGTAAAATTTTAACAGGACGTATCATGTGGTCTCCATCGGGATCAACTGTCCGGATAAGTTTTTTGCATAGATAATAGGCTCTCTCCTCTCTGAGCGCGTGGGTTGATACTCGCGCAACTACTTCGCGGGTCGATCTTTCCTCGGATTCCTCATAAAGGTCGCTGTTTCTAGTATCATTGACTTCTTGCCGAGAGAGATTGTTGCGAGTTTCTTGCAGAGTGACATGAGCGTTACTGTTGGTAGGCTGTGGAGCACGAGTTAAATCTTGAGTTCCAAAGACTTGCCTGTATATTTTTTATCAGCACGCACCGCATGCAATTCTTATACGCAACTCAAAGAAACAATTACTGACCAAGTATCATAACTGGAGTGAATAGCCGGTGTAGTTTCGTCCCAAGTGTAGCCTTCAATCTGTCGCAACCTTTCATACAACCTCGAAGGCGCACCATCTGTTAACTCATCCATGCTGCCGTGTCCCTTATCCTAGCCCTCTGTGGAAGAGCGACAAGCGTGGTACATTACTTCCACGGATGGCGCGAATGAGTCCTGACCTGACTTCAATATTGAGACGTATTTGGATGGAGATGTTTTCTTTGTGAGATCTAACTTCTGCAGTGCAATGGAGCGGATCCACGTCTGAAAAGTTCCTGACAATCAATTCCCTGGGTCCGAGGAGCCGGATGATTAACTAATTTACAGCCAATCAATGGCTGCTTCATGATGTCTAGTCTGCCGCACTGAAGATCATTTAATTTGAGGGCAAGTGGGGTAGGGGAGGGGTTAGTCTCTGGGTCGATTCTATCAATGCAATTTTGACGCTGCAGTTCTTCGGTGCTTTCTTACAAGCTTGAGCCATCAACCCAATCAAGCCCATAGCCTGTCCACCGCCTGCTGCATTCCTTGTGACTTTCCCATGCCTGTTATCGCCTGGATGCTTTACCACTTCATCTTCTAATTAATTATGGAGACTAAAACTCTAAAGCTTCACCATACTCATGTGCTATCCCTTCACCTTGGCTACTAAGGCAGCTTCGAACACTCTAGACTCTGGTGAACCCTTACGCGCAATTTACTCCTCTCCACATTTTGCGTTTCGGACGAAAAACGCCTAGACAGAACGGACCAAATCTGTTTACCACCATCCCGTCCCAATAAAAACCTGTCTCTCTTACTCTAATTGAATCAGGAAATAGATGGATCAGTGAAGTCGAAGTCGCAATTTCACGCAAGTGTCTCTATACCTACCTGGGATACCCTATACCACGAAGGTTCACTAGCAACGACGCAGCTTGTTTAACAAAAATCTTCATGTGCGAAAATTCGGGCTAGTAATCCTCCGAGAGTAACCGAACAAAAGAAAGGCCACAAAAGGTCCTTAGCACGACATCATAAAATCAACAGAGCATGGAAAATTGACCCAAGACCCACATTAAGCCCGCCTCTATCTATCGATCAATTGCAACAGTTCACAAAATCTGTCAAAAATGATTGCATTAAACCAAGTATAGTTTCTCAAATGAATCGAGGACGATTAGAGCGCGGAAATGAGTGAAATCGACGTGGATGTTGCTTGACAGAACTGAATATATCACCGCATTACAGACTAACCATGTTCAAAATCGTCACATGTACTCGTCACTTAAGATTTTATGAACTATCAAATCACACATTTATCAATTACCAACAATGATTATCAGTGAGCTCTTATGCACATTCTTGACTCATCAATTTGGTCAGTTGCTAGCGCAGGAGATCTGACTTCAAGTAGTGAGCGAAAATTGCGGATCCTATGCTTTTGACGCCAACAGGGCCTGTACTGTAATGTTGTAGAACTTTGGGGCTAATTCCTAACCGATCAAACCTTCCTAACACACGTACCGCGTGTTACGTAACAAGGCAACAAAACTTTTAGATGTCGATCGGATTCAACCTAAATATGGAAGCAGTAGTTCATACAGCGGCCGATCCAATAGTAGGTCTTACTGCGAGAATCTCGAAGAAATCTGGTTCCCTTTACGCTGACAGATGTGCACTTCTACTTCTCAGATGGCGAAATCTCTCTGCCTCTCAACGAGCCTCTATCACAATTTATACCCTGACAAGTTTCCCCTTGAGTATGTATGCAGAAAACCTGACAACTTTTCATAATGTCCCCTCGACCGATACCTAACCCATGACCGTATGCTAGTGTCTAGCAGGGAAGGTAATTATTGCAAAGCAATGGCAGATAAGCAAATTTTTGTGTACAGGACTCGGAGCCAGTTATAAAATGACGTGCAAATGCTTTAGAGTGTTTCCACGTCTTTATCCTAAAAATTTACAGGTTTTTTAATCTAGCATCAGCGTAAGGGACACCGTAGATTTCCAAAAAGGTCTCAAATGGAAGTGATCTTCGTTTTGTGACCCGACCAATTATCCGTATATCGACAAAACTGATCGGATGTGTGATAACCTTTAAGGATTGGAAGCCCTCGTGGCTCGCAGAATTGAGCTTAATGAATTGAGTTATAAAAACCTCCGATCGTTGGGATCTTGTGTCTAGTGTCAGATGGGGCTAGGGCTTGGCTGTCGTCAACCTATTTATGTATCCGCCAGTTGTAGAGTCTTTTAGGTCGATGAGAGGCTTACGAAATGGGACACCATCAACAAACCAATGACAATCATCTCCTTCTTCATTCCATGTATCATTGTCTCTATGACTGTGTTGAAACCAGATATCGGATAGAAATTATTAGTCCGAGGAAGAGAAACTTAGTTTGAGGCAGATCCGTATGTGGCATAGCCTCGGCTCTATACTCATGGGGCTGGGGATCTCCAGGGAAAACCATGTGCAGGTGCTGAGTGGTATTAATGGGTCTAACGACTAGGGAAGTATACTACTTAATTGGCGCTTATCGACTATCGAGGATGCATCAAAGGTTTCTAGGGGCCACATGCTCTGTGCGCCGTTAACCCAAGTGCGCTTACATTTGCTCCGTTCCTGAAGCATCCATTTCTTTTTGACCTACAGACTACAATCCCAAACATGGCCCATTTCCCGCAGTTAAAAAAGATTAGACCTGACTTATCACTAAAGAGCGTTTCGTCCTCACGCGAACATGATTAAGTACTCAACCATTTCCGTCGATAGGCTCTCCACCGCCCCGCTAAATTGCTCCGTTTGCCCACAACTTTAGGAGCTGGGAACAACGCAACTAACAATCGATTCTCAATGACATCTACAACAACGAACAAAAATTTTCAACCCGGAAACTATGCCCAATATTTATTGAAACTCCCTCCTACAGAGCTATTTAATTTCAGTAAAAATAAACCTGCTTTTAAACCTTAACCAGCCAAGTGATACGGGCTAGAATATACCTGTATCATCCGATAGTCTTTCACTCAAATCTGGAATAAACTCGAACATGACTCGATCCACGTCGTCAGACCTATCACAATTAATGCCAAGGAAAATATGACAGTATAGTCCGGGGCTCAGGCGCTAGTGCTGCGTTCTTCTACTGGCCCGACCATCAATCGCATGCATGATGTCTAACCGGCCGTTACCAGCATCCAGACCATGTCACATCCAGGCTTCGAATTAAAACGCTTCTTATGAACAATTGACAGCTAGCCACTATTTAGACTTCAGTAATAATATCCAATCGACAAAATAAATTACCTTGTACCTCAAACTGTTCGATTCGAGACGAGCTGCATCAATATTTCAGATTCCTCTTTGCCCGTCCTCAAACCCTAGTATTTTTCATGTGGGATCTGTGCCCCTGTTCGACACTCGGCTCTATACATTCACTACTTGGCCGTGCTACATACATGGCTGTCATGTGTATGACCCCTACAGTACATGAACATGCCGAAGTCGCTATCTGAGATACGTAGCAAAACCCCTGGTACTCGTTTGCTGCCCAGCAGAGCGACGAGTAGAATTATTATCAATTCGAATGTCAAGCTTCTAAATATTATAAATTACTCTTGTCTTGGCTAGCTATTAACGCAGAAAATACAACTAGCACGCTTGTTACATGTCAGCTTCCAAGTAACCTCTTGAAAACGGAGATATTCCACCCAATATAAAATTCTATATCATCAAATAGAAAGTAAAATGCGAAGTTTACATCTGATCTACGCTGGAACTATTATTGAAGGTACCAATTAATGGCGAAGGATGTCTTATCAAAGATACTTCCAATGTTAATAATTCGAAAAAGATCTAAATCCTCCAGTACATAGAGACTATCCAGTTATCCAGATAACTCACATGAAGCGTGTATTGCCTAAAAATTCACCGAATGTAACTTGTGAACGTTTTAGATTGTGTTGCCAGCTGGCATGACGTTAATAAGAAACAAAAACACAATTTGTGAACATGGATCCTCGATTCCTAAAGTTATGAGGGATACAAGAATTCTTGTTCAAGATTCTTGAGAAAGATACGTGGGACATGGTATTGTGTTGTAAATGTTGGCAAAAGAGCCCTACTATTTATTATTTTACGTCGTGCCAGCGCACAAGTTTCAGAAGATTACGTGCTGATTAGCTCAGTCTAGAAAAACTGCCCGAAGTCAAAGAGCCCTTCTACTACGGATGAAATCTGTGTGCTGCTCGAAAGGTAATGTGGCTTGACAAGCTTAGTTTACAGGAGTAAAAGAAATGCTACCCTAAGACAAAGACACACATCTCAAGTAATTTGCAACATAATACTCCCAAGAGATGTAAGGAGCTTGGCATAAGCTCTAACGCTACAACCTTTCCGTAACTTAGACGTACCAATTATTGTCCTTTCATCTCCACTTCGTTGCCTACTTAGGGCACGTTGACTTTGTGATTGAAATATTGCGCAATGAAATGGGTGCAATATCTCAGGAACGAAAGAAGTTGACTAAAAGATTGTAATGTTGAGATTACTACTAAAAGAGTGGGAGGTGTACGCTATGAGTACAAGTATGAGCAACACAGAGCATAGGCCATAGCATAAACGATTATGGCACTATCTAGACATAGAAAAAAACCCCCAATAAGCTCCTTGTGCCCACGCCATACAGCCGCTCATATATTCAATAGGTAGCCTGAAGCGCTATCATATTAGTTATTACAAACTCTTAAATATACACAAGATTATGTCGGGAACCTGGACGAAATTGAGGGCCCGTACGTACACAACACTCTGTGTCTCCATTTCCAACACTTTATCGACTATCACTGACGATTCAATCACAATAAAGCTCTTCTAATTTGCACCCGTGTTAAAGAGAAGCAACCAAACCGTGTCGCCTCCTGTCTGCTCGGACGACGTCGGGATCAACTTAATGGGCTTCGATATTCAACAACTAAAATTCGGTATGTTCTTGGTTAATTTAACGTTGTAAGTTCCTTTGAGACTTGGACCAACGAGACCTCATTCATTGAAGAAATTTCTGATGGGCTAAAATTGTAGTGTGCTAACACCCTATTCGGAATTCAACTTCTCACCTCTTTTTTCTATCAAATATGTAGGTTATAATCTCTGAAACTTATATATAAATTAGCCTGACATAAAAGTTCTCTAGATTTTATTGTCATGTACATAAAGGTTCCAGATATGAGGGTCTGCACCATACAAAAAGTACCGGGTAGATTTAACAAAGCCTGGGCTGACCAAGATGAGATCATATGAAATCTGTGTCGCGTGGTGGTAAAATGGAAAGGAATTATTTTTTAATAACTTGAAATTGTGTCAGAATCTTGTAAAATCTATGCGGGTATTACACAGCGTGATTCGGATTAGAAAAGGGTTGTTTTTAAGACGAAAACACAATAGACTTTCTCAATAGTAAAGCATCAGGCTTCTCTTACACCCACTATATTTAGGCCTACATGAGGATAAAAGCATTTTAATGCACTTTTAGGTCTTGTTTCTGAGCAGAGTCTGGATGGCTCGGGTATTTATCTCTCTCAGTTCTGGTGACATATATTTCAATCCCAGCAAACCTCCTCTTCTCGCGCATCGCTTGATTAATTAATCATAAAGAAATGCCTGGTTCAAGTAGGTTTTCCAAATCAAAAGCATGGCTACTACCGAGGAAGACATCACTGTGCTTTTCAAGTAATAATAATTAGAGTGGTAATTGCAAATGAGTTTCAGAGTGTTAATGGCTAACTTTAAAAAAGTCATTTAGTTTGTGCCGGACAATAATCGTGTGTCATGGTTGGAAGGCCGATTACAAAATGAACGACGAACGATGAAACAAATTGATGTCCATGATTGATCCTACTTACCTAGATGTGCGGCTTTTCATCTCGGCTCTACGCCATGCATGATATGATATTGTATTATCCAATCGAGCCTGCGAATATTAAGGTTGATTGGGTCTTTTGATCCATAGGTCGAGAGTAATTATGTCTCGGCCAGGGTACTCTCTTATTTGCATTATTCACGGTCTTTGTCTAGCGGTAGAAACCCAACAGACCTCCATTAGATGTCACACATTTAGGGACCGTAATTCCGCCAACGAATCGAAAATTATTGTTGGGTGTGCAGCTGCAAATTTTTTTAAAAGTCACTGAGCGCGCAGCTCTTCTTCTATCGATATCAAAAATAAATCCGACGATAGAGCTACCCTGCCGAAGTGGTTAAAGAGGCTTGTCCACGGGATGTAATAGAGTGTGTATACCATAGAACGTCTCTCTCCCTTCTAGTCTCCCTACTTCATGGCGCATGGCAAATCGAAGGTCCCAATGAATTTTGACAACAGCCCTCACCGAGAGTTCATGCCGTAAGACGTGGTGTTACCACTATGTGCCTTTAGAGGTACCAGAGAGTGCCACCGAATCATTTAGAAACAGTGGTTTAGGCCACTATGTGGCTCAGTCTTGGCTCTATAGATTCCATGGTGAGAGTCATGGGTGTGTGAGTGTCACTGAATGGAAACGAATTGAGCTGAGTTGAATAATTCACCATACCAGACCAAAGCCCCCTGCCCCGGAAACTTGACGCAGGTGCGTGACCCCACAGGCCTCACCACTATAACTGAAGCTGGCTTTATTTGGCTAGAAGTTTACATCATTGAAAAATCAAAAAATATCGAGGCAAAATTTTGCTGCCCCAACACGAAGCCTAACCAGCTTACTTGTGGGTGTCACTATAGATTGGCGCTGGCTTTTCTTTGTCCTCTACGCCACGTGGATTAGGCCGTACTACATGGAATAAACAAGTCTCAGATATCTTGAACTTTATTAGTGTCAGACCATATCCAATGGCACCCCCGAATCCGATTGAGATCACCACACATGCTGCGACTTCTCCAGGAACTTATGATACAATGAACGATCTTTTGACTAATGGCCAAATCTTGAGCATCCTGCCGTGACTTTTCATATATCCTGAGATGGGTATGTCTGTTGGATAGAGCACCGATTTGTACCAGGCTCATCTCGTGCGACCGAAGAATCAGGCATGAACTGGTCAGTCAAACTCCACTCAAGCCCAGCGATCCACCATCCTGGTTTAATGACTGGACTGGCTGTTTAGAATCCGTTTGGTTTACACTGATATAGGTCGTATACCATAGAGCCATTCGGCAGCATTTCCAAGTCCAATATGAATTTAGGCTAGCCTCTCCTGGCTTGATTTGGCACGGCATAGGCCTGTGCAAGCTTCTACGGAAAATAGTATAGCTTGTGAGTGAAACCCCGGCTATTGGTAACTCCAGTCCTGGAAATTTTATGATACGGCTTTTCCACTAACCTAGTGCTAGTGTAAACTTGTCACTCATTTAATTAATCATTAGCTTAGATATTGTAACGCAGCAAATTTATACTCAGATGAAAAGACGGGAAGAACGACAAT